TGTTGTTTTTTTCACGATGTATACCTTGCTATATACAAATCAAATAAAGAAATGATGTTTACCTACAAAAAAAAAAACAAAAAAGAAATTCAGATTATTTTTTCAAACTTGTTAAATGTGCTTATTATATTTGTTCTATTATCACTAATAGCAAAAAAAGTTTTATTTTCAAGATTAACTTTAAGCTTTGCTAATATAAATGATAAAATATTTTTGCTTGTATATAAATATAGTATTTGTTCACAACATAAAAAAAGATCTACTGTTTTAAATTCTGAAGTAAGCCAATAATATATTATTTTAATAAATCCAACCTTGTTACAAGCTGTCCATAAGTCAATAGTTATAGTTACAAATTCATATATTTCCATAATTAAAGCTTTAACTTTTTTTATACTATTTTCATATGTCTTAGCAACTAAATTTTTGCAAGTTATATTATTTAAAATCCAAAATATTGGATCAAATATAGTCATTATATGTTGAAATGCTTTTTCTTGTACTATATTAAATAGATGTTCATTAATTATAATTTATTCAATAACTATTTAATGTAAATAATTTATTTTTTAAGATTTATATGGCAAAATTTTTTTGATATCATTATTAATATTTGATTGTTCAATATTCTAATTATATTAAATAAATTATAAAATTATAAAAAAATAAATAATTTAATTAAGATATAATTAAAATAAAAAAATATTTAAAACAAACATCCAGATATAATATTATAAATCTGTTGAAAATAATAAGAAAAAGTTTCTGTTAAACTATTTTCACTATATTTTGTTATACAGTCAAACCTCTTTATAATAATATTTTTTATAATGATTTCTGGTTATAACGATATAATTTTGTTTACCTGTTTATTATAATATATAGTAAAAAGTCAATTTTTATATCGATAAACTAGTTATAACGATACAAATGATCTGATCCAGGTATATCGGTATAAAAAGGTTTGACTATACTATTTTTAGATTATTATTTTATAGTATTATATTATTTTATTACTAGATATTAACCTGTTGCAAAGCAACAGAATTTATATATAAACTATAGAAATATTATCATGACTATACATGTGGCATAAATTATTTTGCTGTTGACTCAATTCCCAAAATTCTCAAAAATAATTGCGTCATGACTCAATTATTTATATGTTTTAATAGTAACTTAATTAATTGCGTCAATTGCGTCAAGGATCTACAAATTTCAGCAACATGTATAATCATGACTGTTATAATAATATAATTTAATTACAATTGTATTAGAGGATTATCATTTCCGTGTAACAATGATTATTTAAAAACTTTGTAATACACAATATTTTTTGTTTGTCGATCTTGGTTTCTATTTATGTTATTTGATATAAGAATTTTGATGCATCGGTAAGAAGTGATTCTCGATAGAGCAATGTACAGCTGACCATACGAAAAAACCAGCTGTGGCATATAGAGATCCACCTGATTTAATGTTTGGCCCTGCGCTTTATTAATAGTTATAGAAAATGTAACTCGTATGGGAAATTGACATCACATTAAAGTAAAAGGCAAACTGGTATCAGAAGGTGTTAATGTAATTTTAGATATAAAAAAGCATTGTTCAATGTATAAACCTGTCATAATTTCCACATCGATTATCTTACTAAAAAGTTTATGACAAATTAATCAGATTCCATTACAAAGTCTTTTTGATGGGTCTAAGTTTTGTAAAAGCATAATAGATATTCCTACTTTTAACTTTAATTCGCCAGGAGGGAGACCACAAATCTTTAGGGATCTTAAAAATTCAGGGAAATACAATTGGAGCTATTTCATATTACCATCCTCTAAACCTACAGAGTCTGTACTGTAATACATGTAAACTTTACCTGGAAGCCAGTTTATAATCAGGTCAGAGATTTTTTCAACTTCATCATTTTTTGAAATTAAAATGGCTCTGCCAACCATGTAGTTCATATTGCCAGAATTTTCAACTAAGTTTGGATAAACGAAATCGATAAGATCTGACAATTGCCCTCTAAGTATTACTATGTCCAAAGGAAGTTTTATCTTGTTTTCTGTATTTGGGATAATTGAATACTTTCTGTCTCCAATTTGTAAGAGAAATTCAGCAAAATTTCTTTATCTTCAGTTCTTATCGGCATCATTAGTCTGATGAACTCTCATGTTGATTATCAATTTCATTACTCTTAGGTATTTCCATAAAAACGATCAGCTCAAGCTTGCTGAGACAACATCAGCATAATACGCACGTGGTATGACAAGTAGAACTTGGCAAAAATCTCTCCTAAAGACAAAAACCTTCCTACTGAATGGCTTATCTATTTCGGTGATGTCACGAAATATCCGGTCAAGTACTTCAAATGCAAACTTATGGATCATTGGAGCTTCATTCCAAATAAAAAGTTTTGCGGTGTTAATTAAAGAGGCCTCTTTGCTTCTTCATGAGATATTGCATGTTAAAGACTTGTTTAGTTTTAGTGGAATTTTAAATCGACTATGTGCAGTTTAATCACCTGGCGAAATTTTTGAATATATGAATTACATTCATCTAGCATGTCCTATAAGTTCTTTAGAATAACCTTATTTAACCCCTGCACAATATTACATCGGTTTTTATTTTCATGTACAGTATCATAGATATATAATTGGGCAAACATTGAAGAGCATTCTTCTTTGGGTAGTAACGGTCCAACACTATGATAAACTTGGCCATGAATCCAGAAATTAGACACACTACGTCCCTAAAACTCATTAATTATATTAGTCCCAAATGATGTACATGCTAAAATGTTATTATAGCTTCTGATGTTCTTGCAAAATGAATTTCTATCAGATCCAACTGAAGTATAGAGATTCAGTAAATATGGTGGTGGCTCAGATAAGAATGGTAAATGAATCTTTCCATGAACACAACAAATTGAAAATTTTAGAGATTTTCTGCTACTACTCCAATCTTTTTCTTCTATTCAAAACTTGGCACCACAATGAATACATATCTAATCCATCCTTTCCAGTTCATAATGTTCTTGATTAACCTGAACCTTAGTATCAGTTTCTGATATAATATTATTATCAACAGCGTTAGTTATAATAATAGCAACATCCAATTCCAGTTTGTAATCTAGATGTTTAATGGATTCAATAGATTTGATACTTTTCTTATATGCGATTGCTTCTATATTATTAATTTTTCACTTTTTTATATAACGCTTCTGTCTTTCTCTAGCAAGCAGCCTCTTTCGGCATTGTTTAGAAGTTTCACCAGGTTTTTGTCTGTATGCCATCGGATTTTCAAACGACTATTTGATTATATCTAAAAATATTGCGTAAGATGGTTGGAAGCAGTTTTTGTCATGCGAGTTTAATATCATATATATCAACGTGATCCTCATCACAAATGATTGGACAAAATACACAATGGAACGGTAACATAGAATACCTTGGAAACAATGTTCGTAATGCAAATTCATTATCATATTGTTACGGTGAAATACGGCGAGTCTGTCGCTTCTGTTCTGTCTACGCCATACTATGTTGGAGAATGGTTTCTCCTCAAAAGAGATGTGTATATTTGGCTCGAGTTTAACAATGACGCAGGTCGATCCGTCGA